AAAGATTTTCAGTACCACCACAGTCGAGGAATGCTTATGATAAGAAGCTGTTTCTAACTGCAGTAATAGTACAGGGGAGTAAAAGGTGATCTTGATGGATTGACAAAGATGAAATTTTTAATTTTCTATCACTATTAATATCTGATACATCCTTTATGTACCACCAGGTGAACTGATTCTTTCTCTGATTTGCCTTGTTAGGTCTCTGATTGCGACAATAATCAGAGACTAGGTTTTTTCCGCTTTGATAACAGTCTTACCATCAGCAGATCGAGTATTACCATGATTCCAATGCGCTTCTGCACAAGACCAGGCTCGATGACCAGGATTGTAATACCAACTGCATAACTTATTTTTAAAGCAATCAGTCTGTTTAGCGTGTCTTTCATCGTCGTTCCGAGGGATACAATGGTTGGCAGCATCAACTGCTGTCCAAGTGACGGAAGGGTCGATGTTTGCGGCACTCAGATCCATAGCATCTTCCATAGGAGGGCTACCAGGGGATATGACAGGTTGGATAATGGGTTGATAGGTATTAAGTGTTGATTTACCTTTCGTGTATGTTGGATTAGTAGATCGAAGGACAGCATTGATATGACGTACTTCCACGTGATAGGATGTCAAATCTGTAGGTAAGGCTTGTTGTAAAATTATCTGATTTTGGATATGGCTAGTGATTGCCGGGTGAAGGGAATTGTAGAGGTAGTAGATCAAGGCATTGTCGGAGAGTTCGGTCTTCTGACCTACCTCGGATCACTCAGAAATATGAGTCGAGGTGACCTTTTGGCCTTGCTTTAGGGTAAGAATTTTACGACAAGCCGAGTTACATTCATCCACATCTACAAATGCCTGCTCCAGGAGAACTAGTATAGCATCACTGGAGGCGAATTTTACAATTCTGTCCCTGTTGATACCATAGGCTATAGTAGATTAAGCTTTGCCTTTGAGGCGAGACATATGATAGATCATCTTGCTTTGCACCGAGGGTTACCAGTCTTCATTTGATATAAATTTCGTATTAATTTTTCGGATGAAAAGGGGAAGTTCTTTGCGTTGTTCAGGGTCATCAGCAGAAAATACATCTGGGTCAGAATGTTCTGCGGATCTGTGATGGCTGTGTGATACGCTTTTGGAAGAAGCGTTGGCTTTCTGTTCAAGGTCTTGAATACATTGTTGAAGACTGACGTTTTGATGTTGCAGAGAGGAGTTAGTAGTAGAGGCCAAGTGATTTTTTTGTTGCTTAGCAATTTTATCTTCAAGTTCCTGGTTCCTCTCTAACAATGCATCACACTCGTTTTTATACTGGTATAACTCTCTCTCTACTTGTATGTAAGGTCTCGCCAGCGTCATAATTTTGTTGCTGAGTCCTGAGATATTAATGGCTTGATTTCCGGCTCGCATGGCAGTGGTAAAAAGTTGGTTATTAGGGACTGAGCTGAGGGGAGGGTGAATGGCAAGACTGAACACCTGTACGCGGTGTCCTCCACGAACCTGTGAGTAAAATATTCTCCCAGAGCCAAGTTCAGTCAAATTTCGCAATACCAAACAAGTTAGCCCTCGAGGCAATGATTCAAATTACCCTGCCATATCAATTTTCGCTCCCAAAGAGTCCGATTCCTACCTAAGCCTCATCAAGTTTACAAGTACGGCCTAGTACATCCTCATTCCAATGATCACACCTCTTGTCGACTTTCTCTGGTCCCAGCCGGTCAGCAAATACACGCCCGCGCCAATATCTACACCCGACAGAGGAAACAAAGCGTGACACACAAACCTGGGAGACTGTTCTTTGGGATTGGCATGAGAGGATTCAGGACAAGTCCACAAGATGATGCGAAGGATGGATACAGTCTCGACAGGCGTGGAATTTTGACCTGACACTCTAAAGTCTCGTATACACCCGAACAGCGTCCACAGCATTGGCTTTTAGTGCAAATTTGCGTGGGGTAGAATCCTCAGCAACGCTGGCATTGCTCAATGGAGCGCTGTTGCGTGAAAGGCATTACCGGCCCACTTTCCTCGAACAGTCTAAACTTGAAGTTCGATGGTTTTTGGCGGAAATGTACAAGCCAACTGGTAGAATATTGTCCCAGCTTTGTTGGTGATTGGCGTACTGGAATTGGAACCGCGCCACAGACTGATTGGCACTCACTTATCACCATTTCATTGGTGACTGTAATACTCCCTTCTAGTGTCCGAATGAAAAGGAGCACGTGTGGTACTAACACTGATATCCATTCTGATGCTGCCTCGATGACAACGTTATCCTGTCGGAAAGATGATCCTGTACTGAGGATAGTTTCCCTAAGTGCATCAGATGCGCACTCAAATGAGATACCCGAACGAACTGGGTGCATTGTTATGATAGCTGATGGTGCGACTCCTGCACGCTCAGTGATCATCTTCTTTATGGTGATCGGTGAGAGCCGATGCCATTCTTGGTCTCTATCTAACCGTACGAAAAGGCGTTTATCGACCTTGGGATTCGATTTTGTTGATTGATCTGTCTGTGAGACAGGTGTTCTTGGTAATGGGATAGCAGGTGGGTCAGGTAGCCTGGCTGCTTTTCGGGCCACAGTAACCCAGGGCGAGATGTTCTCTGAAGGTCTACCGGGTAGAGCAATACAGTGAGCGACAGGAGTTCTTATTGCCTTGTGTGTCACTGTTTTTGAAGAGATCGATGGGGGGTTCGGGACCTTACTAGTGGTCTCATAATTTTCCATTGAGCCAGTTGCAAAATGGGTCACGATGGGCGCGATGTTTGCAATTAAAGACGCCAGAATTGTTGACCCGTTTGTGTCCGCCTTGGTTTTAGCCCAGGTGTCGATAAGTTCTAGGAAATCTTGGGCAAGCCCAAATCTTTCCTTTCTTTCGTGTTCTGCCTTCTGCATTGCATTCGCAATGCCTAGCAGACTTGGATGGAGTTGACCTCCGAGATTGGAAGGCGTTGATGATGACGATGCAACAGCGGGTGCCATTGCATCGGATGATGGGTCTTTGGGAGGGTGATTTTAATGCAATTATAAAGTGATAAAATCGGGGTTTTTTTGCGATCCTGTGTTGGAATGACTTACGGAGGAGAGTCGACTGTTTGTGTGAGCGAACACACCTCATAGTGGTATTTGCGAATGAAATCCAGAGTATGAGTGTCTCTAATGTCAAAAGAGTCATCCAACATGTATACATAGTACCGGTCATGTGCCATAGCTAGATAGCTAAATACACTTATATGAATTAAAAATAATAATAAAATAAAAAATTCGAAGCCTCCAGGGCATTAAGCACTGGCGTCCATGCCTCTAGTTAATTTAGTGAGTAGTAGGGACGTAAGCCAAAGCTTGGGGCCCCGTCGGGCGCAAATTAGAAATTAAACAACAAACAAAACTACCCGATGTGTTAGCGCCTACACTGACTCAACATAGCAATAAAAGCCAGGATCTCATCATCTTGTGCTCGAAGGTTAGAAGATACACGAACGTCGCCGGCAAAGAGGAATTCTTCACCTTCCAGTGGTGCCGGCACAATCGCTCAGTATATATAGGCATACACTTAATGATTTAAAAAAAAAAAAAAAAAAAAAAATCGCTCAGTATTCTCTGCATATCTGGGATAGCCAAGAAGAATCGCATCCGAATCGAAGTCCAAAGCAAAATCATGTAGCACTCACCATTATCTTCTGAGTCCTCAACCTCTTTCTAAACACACAACATCTCGTCTCAACAACAGATAAAGGAGTTGTTTCGATTGCAAACGGGAGCTTGCCTCACCAGTTATCGGCCATCGCCCAAGAAAACATCATACTTTTACTCATACCCACAAGGAGGGAATAAATCACAACTTTCAAAGCTTTGGTTTTGGTATGTGGGGATTGTTTATATAATGGGGCTCCATAATCTGAGAGAGGAGAAGCAGCTGGAACGCAGGAGAAAGAGAAGAGGTCACTAAGAGGCATGCTGAGACTTGCACTTTTCGACGGTTTCTGACTATGTGCTTTTTGTAGTCGCCAAGACTAGTCTCGGATAGTGCTACCGCTACTTAAAATACAGGATGAAACATGTTTACTCCGGTAGATGGAGTAGTCAGAAGATGGCCTCGGTCAGGAAAATTACACATGACGCAGATTAAGATGTTGACATAGAGATTTTCACATGGTTGTTAATATCAGGGCATTCAGGTGGGGAGTACGGGACCGGACTCAGAAATTTTGTTTTGCTTGTCTTATCTTGTTCGTTTTGAATTGGTAATACGGATAGTATTGAGCCTTTTGGGATCAATTGCTCATGTCACGTCAAATTAGATGCGGGGCTTGTGCCTGGCACGTTAGAAATAACAATCAATTCACAATAAATTTTGTGTTCCCTGCGCTTTATAATCGTTTTTTGGCTGTAAGATATCTACATTGATTGAGAAAGCATAAATATTAGTAACAGTAGGCTAATTCGAAGTATTTAATTGCAGTGATTTGTTTTAAAGCATGTTTGAGAACACTCGTGGATAAGTTTATTCGTAGTTATTCTGTTATTTAATTTTGTTATTACTTTCACTGCCTTTATCAAATAAGGTTAGGTACGCTGTTTCCTAGCCAAATATTTGAGCCAGTTGATTAAAATAGTTCGTGAGTACACAAATTTTACTATTACATGAAAATATTTAGCAGAGAATCAAATTGTATCTATTTGACTAAGTTATGCTTCACTTATCCGTGGACGCCTCGTAATTGGATGTCATACGTCTTTGATTAGGATATAATTGATCTAGAAATCCTGAGCCGCTACGAGTGTCGTTCAAGTCGTGTACACTGTCCCTGGTTTTAGTTCGGATAGCCTTCCTAAGGTTTGAATGCCACATAATATTATAATAAGCTCCAATCTAACGAAGAATTATTTCGTTTTGTCATCCAATTACTTTGTGCATTGTGCCGCAACTTAGTAGACATTTTTAAAGCTGACTGTAGTGGTGAATATTCTTTCATCAGATTCATAAGAAAGCGAAGAGCGATGTCAAGTAGCTTGACGTCTCACCTCGCTATTCCTCCTACTGCCTGAAGTTATGCTGCCCCATCTAATGCGACCTGTCTGACCAGAAAAGTTGCTCAAGTTCCAGGCCTTAACGACGAAACTTTGTGTCGTATCAACATAGCCTTCATTTTTGATTTCCCTGATGCTAAGTTTGGCTCCGCCCTTCGAAATGCTCATGTTTCGTTTTTGCATTTTTTCTGACGTTGCAGACGAGATCTTTAGAATGGTACGATAAATTTGGTAGCAAATGAATGATAGGGCAGAGACCAAGATAAAAAGGGCTATAAGAGGTAAAATCTTTCTGCAATAATGTCAGTACCTGTAGTAACTCGAATAAGTCGAGCTTTCCTTAATAATGAGCGAGGTATTGGCGACGGATTTTTCTTGTAAGCCATTTTCCGATACGTATTCTGACTTACTCAGCAATGAAGATTAGAGGCGAAGAGAAGACAATGCTGAGTGCAGAAATATTAATATTTATCCGCGCAGATAACGGTACAGTAATCACAGAATTAGTACTTGAGATAGCGATGAAGGGGGTGTTTGGGCTGAGTGCAATTGCTGTGTAAGACATCCATGATCCGCGTGCCAAGAGGCGTATTATTGCGATTCAGATCCCACTAAAATGAGTGCGACTGGGAACCCATGAATTTCTAAATACCTAATCGACTGATCTTACAGAAAGGATAGGGCGGGTCTGTGCTAAATTTAACAATTAGCCCACTTCGCCCTGGAATCCCAGGGAAAATTGGCAATCTGTGGAGACGTTAGCCGACATCACCCTCAAGGATACATTGGAAGTGCGTACAGCCAAAATTAACTTTAATAGATCTAATAGTTAATACGGGAAGAAATAATTTTGGAAACACCATGGCCTTAAAACTAGAAAGACACAAATATAATAACTAGTAGGAAATGGGTAAACTACAGATGTACAAGAGTAAACTTCTATCAAAACCTGAACAGGGTCAAAGCCTTCTTTCTATTCAGATACGGCATGAGCACAACGGCGTCAACTCTTTGGTGCCCCGAATGAAAGTTTCCGGAGCGGTTAATCCAAAATTTCGGTGGTAATATTCGTTACTTAATATCAAAAATGTGGACTCGAGGCGTCCTTGGTAGGCAAAGAGGAAATGAGAAGTGTTGCAACTCCTTAAAAAAGTCCTAAGAGCCACGATGAGCAATTCAGTTGATATCGATAGCGTTATGAAGTGAATCCTAACCAAAGATTGATATGAATGTTTCCGGAGGGCAAGACCGAACACCTGTACGCGGTGTCCTCCACGAACCTGGGAGTGAAATATTCTCCCAGAGCCAAGTTCAGTCAAATTTCGCAATACCAAACAAGTTGGCCCTCGAGGCAATGATTCAAATTACCCTGCCATATCAATTTTCGCTCCCAAAGAGTCCGATTCCTACCTAAGCCTCATCAAGTTTACAAGTACGGCCTAGTACATCCTCATTCCAATGATCACACCTCTTGTCGACTTTCTCTGGTCCCAGCCGGTCAGCAAATACACGCCCGCGCCAATATCTACACCCGACAGAGGAAACAAAGCATGACACACAAATCTGGGAGACTGTTCTTTGGGATTGGCATGAGAGGATTCAGGACAAGTCCACAAGATGATGCGAAGGATGGATACAGTCTCGACGGGCGTGGAATTTTGAATTTTGGAAAGGAGTTTTTACAAATTGAGCTTTGTGCGTGCCAAGTCTTCGGTTGCGAGAGTGCAGGCGACACTATAAACATCGCCATGGTTTGATGGTGCGGTGGTACATCGTCTTGGTCGGTCTACCATGTAGAGTCTGGATAGCTTGGACACATATCACACCCGAGATAGTAGATCACTGGCTCAAATCCGGCAAGACACGACCACTTTTCTCGCGGCGCTAGTATGCATGGACGACGAAGGCATGCTTGGATAACCAAAGGTTTCGAGATTCCCTTTGGTGGGTACTTATGGAGGAGGGTCGACTGTTTGTGTAAGCGAACATACCCCATAGTGGTATTTGCGAATGAAATCCAGAGTATGAGTGTCTCTAATGTCAAAAGAGTCATCCAACATGTATACATAGCACCGGTTATGTGCCATAGCTAGATAGCTGAATACACATTTAATGATTTAAAGAAAAAGAGCTCCCTGAACTTTTTAACTTTCTTACACTCTGACTCTTTGTTACCTTCAAGTGCACTAACACAGTTGTGTATAGTGCGGATCCCGTCCACTTCCTTGCTACTGGTAAAATTTTGTCTTCCTTCTACCCTCTTTTTTTTCATTTCGTATTCAGCTATATAGCTATGACAAACCTTCTACCCTAGTCTCGCCCTCATCGTGGCCTCGACTTCAAGCGTCAGTCGAAACTGCTCTAGCCGTCCTTCCTCTTGGATCCGTCTAATTATTCTTGCCATATCTTTGGGATTATTCATAATTGTCTCAAACGGCCAGTTCTCTGCCTTTGTCAGCATTCTACCTCTTCCTTTGTCCCAGCTGGTGCAGGCCAAGATCATGTCCTTCACATTCAGTGACAGATATCCACTTTGGAATCGTGGATTATCTGCCTCTGTAACTTTTTCTCTGAGCAGATAGGAGTTGAACCCAATGTTTTCGGTTCTTATCTGCATGGCTATGCTGCTCTAGGCCCCGCTCAGGCGTCATGATACAGGGTATCGTCTATTGAAGTACATTATTCCTTATCTTGCGCCCAGACCCCGATGTAAACATCACTACATAAGCATTGCAATTTATCAGAGCCTCACACTAATCTAGAGGTCTGTCAATCTGGGATCCTCAAAAGTACCAGCATTTCATGCGACAACACCTCGATCGAAATTTTGTCGGCGGATCAACTAGAGCATTCTAAAAGCCTGGGTTGTCAGTGCCTCGAACTAGAGCTCTTTGATATGTATTCGGCTTTCAAGGTTTGGTTTACGGTAACAATGGGGCAAGTCTAGAAGGATGGGGAGTCAACAAAATCCCGAGTTGTCAATAATGATATTAAGATTGTGGGGAAGCAATTATAGAGGCAAAAAGATGAAGAAATACATGCAAGGCCTCGCTGGGCGATTAGATAACGCTGCCGATGAGGAGAAGGACCCCTGGATCAGATGAGTTTACGCTGGGGCGAGGCAAATCTGTGACCAATTAGAGAGGAAAGGTTAAAGAAAAGGAGCATGTCAAGGGCTCGGGCGTGTGGTGGTCGAATCTGAGGAAGAGCTGGCCCCTGGGCACGTCAAAGTCAAGTTCTCTGGGCAGTGAGATTTGACATGTTCAAGCCATGCATGACACTTTAAGTAATTATAAAATAGAGTTTGGACAGGGTTTATGAAATTAATTGTATTTAAATTTATTCAGCCAACTTTACAAAATATGTTTACGGATAAGTGCCACCAAAAAAACACTTTTAAAATATCTGGGTACGAGATTCTTCTATTAGCGACATTCTGACTAAATCCAAGGACATAGCCACCCTTCTGAGGCTTTCGAAGAGGCCGATATAGCGGGTGAAGCAAACTTGCGTATACTTGTGATCCTACATCTCTCTTCCTAGCTTCTCCCTTACACCTTCTCTAGAGCGTACCGCAGGACAAACCGAATGTCACGAAGGGATGTCAGGAAAGTCTTGGTCGAGAGAAACTACCGCGAAGTATCCTAGAACAGCTTCTGGAGTTCTTTACGGACGTGAGTTTGTTGATTAAATTGTGTGATTTGGAAGCCCTTACGGCTAGAATTGGCAGAAGTCGGAATTTATACAATTAACTTTGTTGAAAAGTCGAATTCTACTTTTTTTGAGAGTAGAAGGGTCTTTTTATTTGCTCTCTTGGGCTTTTATTTGCCTACTAGTGGTTAGAATATATTGTAACATGACGAGGGCTCGTCCTGATACTATTACAGTATTTGATACCACAATATCATCCCTCATTTCTTGCACAATTATCGTCGCATTGATCGTCATTTGAGTTATCGGACGCTTATATTTATGGGGGAGGATAACCTAGCTCAATCGTAAAAACATGTCACTCAATCTCGGCTTTGCAGACCTTACAGTGAAGGCTGGAGGTTCATAGTGGGCACTATTGACTGGTGTTGAGGATAGTTCTCAACTGAGACTTGGTCGATAACTATTCTTTATAACACCTTGTTTTTACTTTTTGAGATATTCAACAAATTTCACAGAGAGCTACGCCGTCTTTTATGCATCTTTAGACATTAAATTGATGCAATGAATCTTATTCACATCTTGAAGTTATTCGTTTTCAATACTTAAGACCACACACTGAAGCAACATTGCGGGAGTTGGCATGGGTAAGTGCAGCGGCCCTAATGTGTCGTAAAATTCCAAAGGACAAGAAATTAAAAATTCTGGAGAATATTCGAGAGGTTGTTGTTCTGATTATTTTGGGCGAAGTAGAAGATAAGGTCTCACCCACTGTAAAATACGTCAGGGAAGTCATAAGGCTCACAAAATTTATAGGAGAGCCTGGGTATAAATGACCTGAAAGTCACAGCCAAAGGAGTAGAAGACGATGGTATCGAAGAAGAGTCTCATGGATCCCACTCCAAAGGCAGTACCGAGCGATTATCAGCGGCGTCTGTCTTGTCGCCGCCAGTAGCAAGAATAACGGGGAGCATCAGAGTTTACTGAGCTCAGAAAGTCTGGCTAGACTAGAGGTTTTCGAGTACCAAGTTGCACACGAGAGGAAGATATGCGATGTAACGACACCGATGTTAGCACAATCAGCAGCCCAGAAGCGCAGCACCAGACAAGTCAAACCCACCGAGCTTAGAAGTTACAGCCACAATACTCTAGTGGAAGGCTTCGGAGAGCCTAGGAGAATATGGTTGAGAGGGCAAGAGATGCTCCCAATATTGGTGTAGTTCAGGATATTGTGGTCGTGACCCACAGTTGAGTGATTAATCGTGTAATATGGGTACGTGTTGGAAAGAAACCCCAGAAATTGTAGAACATTTTTTTATTCGAGAATCAATCATGATCAACGTTCCGTATGAATTAACATAAACGGAGGTGGTCCAACACGGACTTATCCTGAGTGCCATGCTTTAAACTGCACAAGTGTAGTCACCATGAGCTCAGCCCTAGGAATGTGTGAGCAGCGGTAGATGGGAATACATACAGTCGTCTTTTGAAAAGATAGCCTAGTGCGGTAATTGTGCTGGTGCCCACTAGACTCAGCCTATCCAACGAAAGTGGTTTCTCGCGCAAACCGTGGCATACAACACCGTTAGTGTCAGAAGATAGCTTGGCAGATTTAGTAGGTCTTCACGAGGAATGTGGGGAAAGCTGATATGGAGCTTCTATCTCGGACAGCAGATCTAATGATGGAGAAAACAACAGTGGTAACATGATAAACAGTCGAAACCACAGATTAACAGAAATTCGTTCCGCTCTCTATTAAGCGACCAGCGATAATAGCAGAACCATCGGAGCCGTCATATCTAACACTATGACCTGCATCGAACGAGGAGACGCCATCTCTTTTTAACTTCTCCTAAGCCAAGTTTGGATGATGGATAAGCTAACAGAATGAGCAGAAATACTTACACATCGACGATTCAAAGGAAAGTCCTCCATATTAAAGTGGGTCATGTCAAAGTCGCGAGATTTTGATCTTTGTTGCTCCAAAACTATTTCTCTTTATTGTGTAGCTATCCATCCCTATGAACCTCTACATACTATCTGAAAAGAACAGTAGTCATAATTCTCGATATTTCTAATTTGAACAGTTTCTACATCGAGTAAATGATCATCACATTTAAATATGATTCTTGCTCAATATGAAGAGACGACTAATAATCCTTTGAGTAATTATAAATCAAAGCGGATGTTGTAACACACAGATTAGTGGATAGTTGTCTGATAAAGATTTAGCCAATATACTTTTTTTTTAATTTTTTTAGTCAAGTGTATCCTCAATCTACTTTTGGTATCGTTTCAGGCGAAACTTCACGTACAAAATCATGCTCTTTTGAGTCATACTACTCCTCTTAATTGTGATCTCGTAGGGTTACTTGACCACTGGCAGGAGCTACAAACTTTTGTTCATAGTCTAACTATTTTTCCTCAAGTGTTAGCGCTGACCTTGAAGATAATTTGATAGCTAGTAAGCCTAAATTTGGCTGAGCTTTAGGTCTTTGAATGCAAGCGAGTAGATCTGATACCTCTACCTAGAGGATTCCCTCTAAAGTCCTTTTACGCTCAATGCTACCATGATTTGATGCATAGCTCCAAACTGCAAAAACCAAAGATATACTGAAACCGTTAAAATTTCTAACCAACCAGAAGAACGGCCGTCTTATGAAAATTTATGATAATAACCAATCCTACTTACTATACATAAAGCTTTGAATACCCATCCCAAAATTCGAGCTGGTTTGGCAGCTCTCAACAGGAGATAATGCCTCATCTTCACTATCATGAATGACGAGATCTTCACTTCCCATTGTGCCCAAAAGTATTTTATCCAGATTTCCAGACATACGTCGACTATTTGAGACGGGTATGATAATTTCTTTTTGGAATTTTGTTTTCACAGGAGAATTATTTCCTCCCGTGAAAACGCCTCGAGGCCTATCCGCAACTATGCCAAATGAGTCGCCTGCGGGTTTCAAACCGAGTTTCACTCGATTTTTTACGGATGCAGAGATTAATTGAAGCGGTGTGAGACGCTGCTTCTTCAAGCTTGGTCTATGAGGAGGCATGACTGAGATCTGGTTGTGCGAGAAATTTGCGTTACTAAACAAGTTAGTTGCATCAGACACCTCCGAAGATCTATTTTGCAAATTCTCTTTTTCAGGTTGAACTATATTTGAGTGCTGGTCGTTTAGAGTTTCTTGTAAGTCTAATTTCGGAGGAGGCGGAGAATGTTTGTTCCAACAAACTTCTTTTGCAGAAGCCGAACTAGAGCTGAATTTATATTGATCTACCAAACTTAAAGCCACAGTTGGTTGGGATTTACAGAATTTACTGTCATTATCCTCAGAACTGTTTATTTTTGTAGTTCTATCCGAGGAATCACTGGACTCGAAAGAGAGAGAAGTTGACGGAAGACTAAGCATGGCCTCCTCAATTGAATCATCGGAGAGGATTTTTGCATCTTCCATTTTTTGAGTACTTGGGTTTCCAGAAGTAGGACTAGATTGGAGTATCTGCGAGCTGAAGAAACGACTAGAGCAAAGTGCTACAGAGTCGCCCATCTCATATTCTGTATCATCACAAAGGCGCAATTTTTTACGAGGTCGGGGTGACGCATTATTTATACTAGCACACTCAGTCATAGGTAAGATCTCCGAACTAATGTAATGTGTCTCGGTTGATATTCGATTTCGATTTCGATTCGGCTGAGGAACTGATCTCGATGACAATGTTCGAGGGGACCTCTCTGAAATTAGAGACTGTCTGGGTGAAGGAGTAAAACAGTTAGGATCTAGCTCTGCAAGAGGAGTCCTAGCTTTGAAGAAAGCCGTTATTGTAGAACATTTTCCGAGATCAGGAGTTGAGGAGACACTTCGATGTTTAACTCTAGTACCTGAGTGGGTTTCTTGATCTGCAATTATCTGATTATGTTTTTCTACGATAATTGGCTGCTTAGTCATGGGATGTAAATCTCCCGTTGCAACACCTTGAGCAATTTTTGGCTCAACATACGCACCGATGTATGTCATTTTGTCCAGGTCGAGTGGTTGAGTTGGTTGTGTATGTAGCACTACTTCCAGTGCTATTGGACAGAAGACTCTTTGATGTAGAAAAGTAAGTTCAGCTTGACGGAAAGACTGAAGGTAATCATCCGGTACCTTAAAATTCCCATCAAATCTCAACATCTGGATAACCTTTTCAATCGATTTATACCGTCTGAGCATTCGATAAGCTGTTTTGAGTCCCATTTTATTGACACTAGCTAGGTAGTCGCATCCACTCAGTATTGCCATTTGTCGGAAAGCGACGTCGGACCACCCAGCAAGATTGATCTCTGTACACGCAGAAAAGTCTTTCTTGTTCACTTCGATACAGTTTCCGTATTGATCCAATTTTGTTAACAGGCACCTGGCTCCAAAGACTAGCAGATCAGAATCCTCGGATATGATACCGTCAATAATTCCTTTTCCCTCCATGTACACCATTTGAGAGTCGGCTTCGTAAGGGGCCACAACATACTGTACATTGTACCTCTTTAGTTCATCGATGAGTTGCCTTGCCATTTCCGGCGTTACGTCTATAGATTTTTGAAATTCATTGTGGGCTTGTGAAGATTTCCCTGCATGAAGTAGACTCAGACCAGCTTTTCTACTTTCCTCTCTTCTCTTAGCCCTATCTTCTTCTGTGGTGGCCTTGCCAGGAAGATGATCACCATCAAATATCAAAAATGGAATTACACCAAAATGTTGAAGCATCCGAACCCGGTGCATAGCAGAGTCAACAAATCTACTATGTTAGACGTCAAGAAAGAAAAATTTTGATGAATCGTACCTTCTAGTAGGTTTTCCCATAGCTAAATCTGTGGCACAAGCCACAATTCCACGGTGAAGCCATCCATAGGCATCAACCCCAAGGGTCTTCCCCTCGAACTCACTAAGGTGACATGGTTTTTGTATGGATTTTAATATTCGGAGTAAGCCTATGAATATTATGAGAGATGGAATATGTATCAAGATTTGAATTCAGACCAGAAATTCCCATGTTAGTTAGGTAGGATAGGTGCAATAGCTCATGCAGGATTCAAGGGTTGGTTTGACTAGACATGTTATTTGACAGAAATCCAATTGCGAGTGTCGAGCAAAGCAGTTGAAAAATCGTAATTAGGAATAGCAAATGCGTGATCTGTCAGAGCATAGAGGGCAGGAATCAGCGCGGGTGAGGTCATATTGAGTTGGATAGGGGATTAGAAACTATGCTAGAGCATCCAGCCTGACGCGTCGCGACATCAGTAAATTATTCTATCGCGACATTAGCATAATTTGATTGCACTTCAGATCTCTCATCGATCTCGGGTACATTCCACTCACTCAGCTTAACACGTATTTCGGAAGCCGAGAAGCAGCTGCGGGTTAATGATGCAGATCTAAGGAAGTTCTCGCGATGTGTAAAGCTATGGGCAAGACCCGGCCACCTGAGAAGTGTGGCGGCAATAAAAAAAGCCACTAACAGTTTGCTTGAAGTTCTCCAAAATGCAACAAAAGTGTCAGGCAAGACTCTAGCAATAGGCAGTGGACGAACGGGTCTCTGATGGAATGAAGAATGTCGTTAAAAATGGCGCGACTTTAAGAGAGCTAAGAACTTTTTGACATCTCCAGTGGAATCCCGAAAAAGAATTAGAGCAGCAGTTCACTTTACAAAGCACGACTACTGTAAGAAGTAGGCGATAGCAGCGTCAAATGATGCGCAGGTACTCAAGTTGATGAGATGCATCAAGCCACAATTGACACGACACTCGCCCCCACTACTTCTTGATAAAAACTCCTGGATTTTAGATCCTCGCGAACAAGCAAATGTTATTTGGAATACTCTCCTGTCAAGATATATTGCCATTGACGATATACTTGAATGGGAGAGAGGACAGAAGGAATCGATTCCCTAGGAAACAAATCTATTCATCGAAGATGTTACAGCTTCCACGATCGGATTATGAAATACGGCCCCTGGAATCGAGAAGATAACAGTTCGATTACTTAAAGCTTGCTGGGTATACATAGTGCACCAAGTTAGAGATATCTTTCGGTTCAGTTGAAGGTCCACATACTTTCCACTCGTCTTCAGGGTGGCAGAAGTTGAATTACTTCCGAAACCGGGGCGGGACCTTTCGACTGCCAAAGGCTGGCGTCCAATTTCCCTACTGTGGAGCTTCGGCTAGGGGTTGATGCGTTTAGTCAGCAAGAGGATGGCAGAGCTAGCGGTCAACTAAAAGGTAATATTCCCACGACTATTCGGCGCCATTTCATGATGGTCTGCGGTCGACCTTGTCTCTTGTGTTGTTCACGATGCAGAAAGAATGACGAGAAATGGCAAGTTTCTAGTTATGGTAACTCTGGATATTCAATGTGCTTTGAAACTGTCCTTCACAATCGCTTGCTTGAGCAATTGAGAGACCAAGGCTACCCAATTTCACTTTGCCGCTGGATTCATCTCTTTCTAACTTGAAGAAAAGTTTGCGTTAGATAACGTGGAGGAGCTATAGGAGACAAAGCTGTGGAATTCGGTGTGCACCAGGGATCACCAATTACACCCCTACTTTTCACGCTCTACATGAATGTCTCAATTCAACTAGCAGACTACTCTGACAGATTCAGATATGCTTACGATGTTGCGGCCATTTCAATAGGTAACAACCCCAAAGAAGCTATAGTGGCAGCCCAATCAAACGCTAACAAGTTTCTTTAATTTGATCCAGCAAAGATAGACCTTGTAGTCTTCGGAGGAGGACCGAGAAAAAAGATTGATGTAACTTCACCCTCAATCACAGTCAGGGGTCACATAATTGAGTCCTCGTCATATTTTTGATGGCTTTGAATCTGGCTAGATACTCAGCTGAACTTCAAGAGGCATGTACTAAAACGAACTAGTAAGGCACAATTCATGGCTCAGTTCCTTCGAAATATCAAAATAGTTCAATATAGAGCTGTGCCAGAATCTCTGGTCCGAGCAACAAATGCTTGCATTCTAAGCACAGCTCTTTATGGAACTGAGATATAGTGGCCTGGTCTTACTCGAATAACTAAGCAACGAGGAAAAGAATTAAGTACGGGTATGGGGTGGCACACCAGTCTGATTGATCGCACTATCTTTCTGGGAATCCTAGCGGCATTACCAGTTTGGCGTACCACCCCAAATATGGCTCTCCACCACGAGTCAGGTACCCTACTGGTGGGGATCTAACCCGAACAAAAACGATAGCGAGCCGCTGCACGTGTACAGTGACCTGATAAGTGGTATCCCCTTGTTTGTCGGTCAAATAATGGCCCAAAGGACACCGTCAGGTGGCTTCAACTGCGCACGGAGCAGAAAGATTAACCTTACACGGTCCCTGAACGGTACTTATCTCGCCTACAGATGAACATTCGATAGATCCCAGCTTTAGAAAGCTGCGCAGACCAAAAAAATAGCAAAATTATCATTTTGCTGATTAATTAAGGAAGTAGAAGCAGAAAATTTTATAAACAGGCTCACAATATTATTGTCACACAATATCTGTGCGTAATCTGATGAATCACCGCGCAGACTGGGTCAATCCGAATGGGGTTATGCTGTGTACCAAGGTAGTCTACTAATTGCGAACGATTCTAACCCTCTACAAGGTGCTGAAGTATATGACGCAGAAGTGATTGGTGCTTTCTAGGCCCTGAAAATATCAACAGAGTTGGCTGGGGACACTCAGATTGTGGTACTACAAGCCAATCATGCAGCTGTGCAAGCTTGTAGAATAGGTGTTTCGAACTCTTCTCAAGAAGCGGTTGAAGCCTTTGCAGACCTTTGCCATAGATATCAGGATGTCGAAGTTCGATGGACCCCAAGCCATAATGGAATCGCTGGCAATGAAAAGGCAGATACTCTGGCCAGATTAGCCTTGTCAAAGCCTGTCTCCAACCTTGGGGCTCGATCTACAAATCTGGTGACGGATTTCGGAGGATAGAAGTTGACTTTTACAACCCTCAATCACTATCTAAATTTACCAGTGCAGGATAAATTGGACAGTTGACGTATACAGCATCGACCAAAGAGATACGAAGACCTAGATCTTCGGATGAGAGGAAAAAGGCCACCAATTCTCCCTCTACGAAGATGGGCTTACCATGACCTTTTAGCAGCCAGGTCAGGCCACGGAGATTTTGCCGACTATCACCACCAATTCTGTCACGTAAACGAGAAGCTTAATTGTGCACGTGTGCGTGTACGGGAAAATCGCTCGTGGCACTTTGTAGAATACCGATCAAGGCTACATATATGGAGGAGCTCTGGGCAGAATTTGCCACCAAATGAAAGGTGTATGTTCGGAGAGAAAGGCTGTGAATATTTCTGGCAATATCTGACATAAACAAAATGTTAGAGTCAGGCAAAGAATATAATGCGGAAAAGAATTCCCCGCTAAGATTATTATTACTGCAGTGCTGTATTATGTTTATTTCAGGTGTCTTAGAGAAGAGGATCATGGCGTAGGTTATTGTTGCCCATAATTTTTTGCGTACCTTATGTCTTTTATTTCTCCCGGCCTCTAAAGACAGGCCATATACGTAGATTTTGAACCAATAGGTTCCACTAATCGTGTCATGTCCAATGAGAGAAGAGATTTCCTGGCACGTAAAGGGTATCAGATCAAATTATATCTAATCAAACACAGCTTGTTAGTTGAGGTGTACACCGCTCCTTGAAGCCTTCAAATTTAGATTCATAGCACAATATCTGCAGAAAAAATTTACTCGCTCAGCGTCCGCACTGTGGCTCAATAAACGTCAGTGTGCAGGGTGATTAAGATGACAAGTTGCTCTCAGCAGCCTCGATGCGTTGCGAAAAGCGATAATGGTAGTAAATAATAAATGTCAGGAAGCGCGAAGAGCTTCTACGCAAAAGAAAAAATATAAATAAGCAATATATAGAAAAGTACAGATGGAAAGACGGGAAGAACGACTATGACCTCTAGAGGAACACTTGTCAGTATCCATAAAAACCTTAACAGGGCCCAAAGTAGCATAGCCATGCAGTTAAGAAGTGAGCACATTAGGTTCAACTCTTACCTGCACAGAAGACATATTTCCGGAGTAGACAGCCCACGATGCAAACGTGGATATTCGTCCCAGAACGTCAAGCACATGATCATGGCCTGTCTCGACTGGGCTGTAGGGAGAGTGGAGATACTAAGAAAGGCAGAGAATCGGTCATTCGAAGCGATGCTGAATAATCCGAAAGATATGGCTAGAATTACAAAGTGGATACAAAAGGAAGGCTAGAGCAGTTTCGACTGACGCTTGAAGTCGAAGCCATGATGAATGAGAGAGAGGGCAGTAGGGGAAAGATGATCTCCTGCCATAAGTAAGAGAGTGGACGGTATCCGCACTGGATATAACAGTGTTAGTGCACTTCGTAAAGGTAACGCAACTTTAAAGTGTAAATAAAATGAAAAGTTGAGGGGGTTTTTACCATAATGGTTTCCTCATAAATATTAGAGTTTGTAGACACCTGCATGGGCCTTAAGGCTCCAAATCAGGCTAAATGAAACCGAATTCAAAATATATTGAAAAACAATACCTATTTACCACACTGTGATCAAGCACGGTGATAAATGTACCAAACCGGAGCTTAATGATGCGATCAAGGCCTTCACTCAAAAATAATTTTCGGAGAATGTCCGGTCCGTGTAAATTCCAACCCAAAAAGAAGCGTAGACTATCTACGTGTTGGTAAAACTCAAAGTAATTCAAATACATGGCCCCCTACAATAGCACTGTCCAATCCATATATACATCATAGTAACCAGAGCAACCTAGGTCTCATAGAGTCCGCCTTCTACTACTCGATTACTCGATTCGTAACCCATATTAACCATTGTATCCTAGTAACCTCTATCCTCAGTTCCTAACACATTTGCATATGCAGAGTAGTATGAAATTGGGCGCTAACTTAGTACCATATAAATTAATCTGATTTGAATTCGTTTCGTTTCAGCCTTGAGTTGGAAATGGAGACACGGA